CATTCTGTGAAATTCTGTTCAAGCTTTGCTGAGAAATACTACTTCTAGAAGTCAGTTTTTCATTTTGTGTTTGTATTCTTCAGGATGACTTTGGCTGTGTACTAAAATACTTAAACACAAATATTCTGAAATTAGGCATATAGTGATGTTTAAGCAGTACTAGGAACAAGCACTGTACAGCACCGCCCACATACAGAGGGAAGACGTTGTAGCCTGATCTATATTACAGTTAAATGTACTAGAATATTACCTTTAAAAAGGTCAATTGTATAACTTTAATATTAAATTTAAAAGTTCAAGCTTTTGGGTTAGGAAACTTTCTATTAAGGCTTACTAGGAACTTGGTCCTATCCCATACATGTGTTAAGGTAGTGTTGTGTGTGGCAAGGGGATTTATTTTACTCTTAAAAATTCAACCTTGTTCAGTGCTCGGAGTGGACAGATGAAGGTGTGGTGAGCAGTGCAGCTAAGCAGATCAGGTGGTTTGCTGCCACTAATGAGGAGTGGGTTCTGGTATTCATTCCCTGCTCTCAGTGGTCTCCGTGCTCTAGTTCCTGTCTGGCAATGCTGTGAACCAGTTCTGTTCACTAATCTAGCAGCAAAGTGAATGGTTTTCTGCTGAGCTGTTAAGTTAATGTACTGTGCAATCAGACGAGCATCAGTCAGCACCAGGAATGGTGTAGGACTGTGTGCCAGGAGCAGTGGCAGAGGAGAGCGGGGAGTTGGGCTCTACCCATCTGGGGCAATGAGATCTTAGATTGCTCAGCTGTATCAGATATCCACATTTGAAGGCTGAACAAATAATTATGAATTTACGTTTTTTCAGTATTCAGTTTAATATTGTAATATACATTTCATAGAGAAAATGATACATGGTGTGTGAAGTATCTAAAAATAATTTTTCTGAAGTATGTCATTTGCTGCCAGTGTGAAAATGAAGTAAGAATTCTTTACAGAATGTCTTGTGTATGCAGTAGCATAAGCTTGTGTGAATTTGAAAAAATCTCAAAACGTCTAGTCAGTTGTCTTTGAAATTCTGCTTGAAGTGCTTTTAGAGAACTAGGTTCTACTCTTGGTATGTAGTTTTATTAAGTCTAATTCTAGTAATGTTTTGAAAAAATCCCATTTGGAATCTGCCTTCTCTTCTGACTTATGTGTTTTAAGGCTTTTTTCCTCCCCAGTAGCACCTGAAACTCAAACCCTTGAAGAAGGGATTCATATTTTGTCTCCTAAGAATAGATGCTCCCCATTTTGATTTTTCTTTTTCTCTTTCCAGTTGCAAGTAGCAGTTCAGGGGCCCTGTTTTTACCCATTGTAGCCTTTTGTTCCTTCAGTAATTGTTGCTCTCTTGGTTTCCAGGTGTTTCAGAATTAAAAATGGCCTCAGTTCTATCCTTTTTGATATATAGAGATCCAAAAACTTCTGTGGAAGATCAGAGTTGTGTTCAGAGGTGACAGGCTGCTAGCAAATATTTATTTGGTTCCAAATTGTGCACGCCATTTTTGCAACTTCTTATGATTTGCTGAGTGTACTGATGAACTTTAATCCTTGGTATATGTGTAAATGGCATAACTCTTGTAGTCTGTGATCAAAAGTAAAAACACTCTATATTAGTGAAATATTTAAAGATGAACAGAAAATTCCTTGTCAAGCTGGAAGGAGGACTGTGTAGGATACCAGAAAAATCGTTACTTTTATCCTGTGGTTAAGAGCTTTTTTTTTTTTTCCTTCTGAAGGTTTAATGGAGATGGTGTGAAAACAAACAAAGAGAATAATAAATGTTCTTCACTTTAAAAGTGCCTTAGTGTAATCTCTCTTAAGAAGGTTTTGTGTACTTAACGTAGGTGTGTACCAAGTTACCTAAAATGTTTTGTTAACTAAACCCATTTTGAGTGCAAACCTTTTTGGATATATTAGTATGAACTTCACATAATTTGACACTATTTATGTTCTGTCTATATGATTTTAATTGTGTATGTTACATTTTTTGTTGCTGTTGTTTCTGTCTTAGAAGCACCACTGCTTTGCTCCTTGAGTACTGGTTACTGATGATTAGAATAGAATATTTCAGTTGGAAGGGACCTACAATGATCATCTGCTCTCACCACTTCAGGGCTGACCAAGTTAAAGCATGTTGTTAAGGGCATTGTCCAGATGCCTCTTAAACACTGACAAGCTTGAGGTACCAACCACCTCTCTAGGAAGCCTGTGTTGTAGTTTAGTGGTTTTGTAACCTTCGAAGTGGTGGGGTTTTGTGTTGTGTGGTTTTTTTTTTTTTTTTCCTTTTTTTTCCCCACAGCTGCATCTGTGAAACACATTATGGGATTAAAAAACCAGCCACCACGTATTACAGGAGCAGTCGAATGGATTTGATTGTTAGTAAAACTTCTCATAAGATATAATCAAAGGCAGGGAATGGGACAGATTGAAAGGGGAAATTGGATAATCTGCCTTCTCATACTGTAGAAACGGAAGTCAACAGTTTTTGAGGTAGTTTTGCACAGATGCACATTCATACCCATCTGTTACATAAGTACTTTCCATTATTACCAGTTGAAATGTAATATAATTTAGTAGCTGGATGTTCAGCAAGGATGTATAGATGCTGATCTTCAGTCTTCTTAAGGTTTTCTTTGGTGATGAGAGAGCAATTTTGCTCTTGCCATAGCAAATAGCTTCGCGCTTTTTAAACTTAGAAGTTGTTGTATTTGTAGCCAGTTATATTACTGCTGATTGTACCCCAGTGAGTATAAATTTCCATCCTTTCCCTGCCATGCCTGAAGTCCCAGATCTGAGTGACTAGTCTCTGCAAAAATCTGACCTCCATTTGAGAACAAGTGAAGTGGGTTGACCCCTGCTTCCCCCTGCCTTACCTTGCTGCAGCATTCAATGCGATAATTCCATATTTTCTATATCCAAACTAATGTAATATGGAAATGTGTGACTTCTTTATGGTATCGATCAGTATAGCAATGTATTTTTGTGTTTAGAGTAAAACAATCTTAAAATGGTAAGTTAAGCATTTTTAAGAGTTTGAAATATCTGTAGACTCTTAGATGCTCTCTAGTTGTGTATTCCTGCAGTCAGGAGGAAGGAAAAAATTCTTTATTCTGTAGTCCATATTTTGAGATTTGGATTGAGATTATTTCTAAACCTAGAATATGGAACTTCCCACTGTCGTAAACCATTTCTTTGTTTTTATTTCCGCCTGAATGGAACTGGTGCTGTAGTGACACCATTACGGTACCCCAGAATGTAAGCAGGTTGAGGCAGTTGTTTGTACGTGTGTTGCTGCTCTTTCTGGTCTTTCCATGCCTGCTAGGTTTAAAGATTCTTCTGCCAGAAGGAAGATGTTAACAAAGAGGTGACTATTACATCTACCAGATGAAGCAGTCTTATTGCAGAGGTCCACACTGGTTTTACACTGAAGTTAGCCTAATGAAAGGACAGATTTTCACAAGGCTACCGTGCCTTTTGACAGCTGAACTTGGTTAGCTAAAAGTGAAATTGTGCTCATAGAGTATGTTATGTTAAATCTGATTTAGAGTGAAAGGTGTTTTTGTAGCTCTTAACTGTGTGGATTAGGTTAAGAAATCCTAGTGCCCATTTCCTTGTTCGGGTGAAGTAAGAAATGAGCGACCTCAGGGCACTTCTTCCCCCTACAAGATGAGAAAATAGAAGCTAGAGAGATAACTAGCTTGCCTGCCTCCGCTTTAGAAATCCCAGAGGTATGTAGCTGCTGTCACAAACCTCAAGAGGCTCAGAGGCAAGTGTCTTAATAGCTTGTTCTCCTTTCTGGTATCTGTATCTTCCATATCCAAACCTGTTAATTATGAGCAAGAATGTGTGATTCTATGCACCAACAGCTGTGATCTTTTCATTTTTTTATTTTCTTTTTTTTTTTTAAGGGCTCTTGTGAATTAGTTGGGCTGAGGATTGCAAGCTGAAAACAGTCTACTGCAGCAGAGTAGTAGAGGCTGGCTAACTCTTGTGAATTTGAGATTACTTAGAAATTGTGTATTTCATTGCAAGTTTAAACTTCTGTGTCTGAACCTGCAGATCTTGAATTGCTTGTTGTGAGCATAATTTTGCGCTGTAACATGCCCAGTAATTTGATTTATCAAATCAGATCGTGGAATGATTCCAACTGCTAGACGTTAAGGCAGCATAGTGACAGAAGTTTTTTTGGCTGCCACGTTTATTAGTTGAAAAAAAAAAAACCACACCCCAAAAGCACTTGAAAAAAAGCACTTTAAAACAAGGGAGAATGTTTACTTTGTGAATCACTTGAACACGTTATCCCCACATGAGTACTTTTGGCTTTAGGCCATTACAGTTTGTTCTCAGTTCAGCTTGCATATTATGTAAACTTGAAGCTAGTTTCAGATTTGTGAGGTTTTAGGCTTTTTTCGTTGATTGTTCAGGGGTTTTTTGTTGTTTATTTTGGTGGTGTTTGGTTGGTTGTTTTTTTTAAGAAGTATGGGCTCAGTTTTCAAATGTTTCCACATGCATTTTTCAACAAAGTTTGTTTAGTTCTGGAAGAATGATCATGTAAAGCCATCTGACAAGGTAGGTTTTGGCAGTGGCATCTTGTGAACAGCTTGCTGGTGATGGTTGATATTGACTGTTTGTAAACCCCTTGTTTGCCAATGTTTGTTGACAGCTGTCATACAATGTTTCTGTACTTTCTGGTATAGTAATTGCTGATGACCAGTTAAAGGGTATGATTAAAGATCATGACTCATCATGAAAGCAGCTTTGGGAAGCGTGGTTGTTTTTTTTGTGATTTCCTTCCACTCCCAGTTTATTTGTCAGTCATGATGTGAACATGGCAGGTGTTTCTTACTACTCATTTTCAGTAAGATACACATTGTGACCTTCAGTATTGGTCTCTGGTCTTTGTGTGCCATGGTGAGGGTTTCGGTGACTTTGAATCCTGATGTTTAAACACATATTTTGTATATGAAGATACTTAAGAGATCTTTTTTTCCTTTCAACAGGTGGGAAGGAGAAACCAAAAACCAATGCAGAAGAGCTACAGATTAAAAAAGTTAAGAAGAAAAAGAAAAAGAAACATAAAGAGAACGAGAAGAGGAAGCGTCCTAAAATGTACAGCAAATCCATTCAGACCATCTGCTCGGGATTGGTTTCTGATATTGAGGATCAGGAAGCCAAAGGCATCATAGATGATCATCTTAAGGATTTCACTGGGAAAAATATGGATCCCAAGAAGGACTGTGAGTCCAAGATACCAGAGAACAGTGAGTTTCCATTTGTCTCGTTAAAGGAGCCACGGGTTCAAAATAAACTCAAAAGGTTGGACACATTGGAATTCAAACAGCTGATTCATATTGAGCACCAGCCTAACGGAGGTGCATCAGTTATCCATGCCTACAGTAATGAACTCTCCCACTTATCTCCTGTGGAGATGGAGAGATTTGCAGAAGAGTTTGTGGGTCTGGTTTTTAGTGAAAATGAAAACTGTGCAGCTTACTATGTAATGGGTATTGTTCATGGGGCAGCTACTTATTTACCTGACTTTTTAGACTACTTTTCGTTTAATTTTCCCAATTCACCAGTGAAAATGGAGATTTTGGGAAAGAAAGATATAGAGACAACGACTATGTCAAATTTTCATGCTCAGGTAAGAGGTTATACATTTTACTTTCTAAAGTCATATGATGGTTTCAAACAACTGTGGATGGGGCTTTTTTAGAATGTGGTTACTTTTAATTGTGCTGTGTGGATGACAGCAGAAGACTAGAAACAAGGGAATTCTTTAACTAATAAATTAGTTCTGCAATATTAAAGATAAGGAGCCTATTAACTGAGGCATAAAGTTGGATGTTCTGGGGGAGGGGGGGAAGCGTTTGCATGCATGAGTATGTGTAGGTTTCTTTGGATTTGTTTCTGTAGCTGAAGCTTAACTGTGAGTTTTGGAGGATTTAATTGATTTATCTACAGCTATCTGGGTACTGAACTGCAGTTTATCTGTATGAATGTCTTCATAAAACTGAAATGCTTTAATACATTAGAACAATATTGTGCATAAAACCTGTATAGCCACAGTTATTTAGTTGCATTTGTAGTTTGAGGCTTCTAAATCCATCCTTAAAGTAGAACATAATGGTGGTTAATCGTAGGTACTAATTTGATCCTTACCCCTTTGCATTTCCCCCCAGTTGGTTTTATTATCTTGAAAGTTGTTAAATTACACTGCAAAATGGCAGGCAGCTTTTTAATCTTGTTATTTTTTTCCCAGAGAGAAATGACTGTATACTCTTTTAAAAACAGCTACAGATTAAGCATCACTGCTGCTATTTATTAACTTGATGTAGAATATATGTTACTGTTGCATACATTTCAGGTCTTTCAAGTTCAGGGAAAAAAAAATCTCACCTTCTTAGATTACCTAGTACCCTCATCACCAAGATGGCAAAGCCTGTACCTATATTCTGAAATAATTTTTGAAGTAACTTGATGCTGTTTTTCGTTATATCAGCTTCAATTCACAGTTGCCTGACTCCCTATTTGTGAATTTAGATGTTGTATGGAACACCTTTAAACTATGTTAGTCTTCACTTTTTAGACAGTTATGAAGAGTTCAAGTGTAAGTTATACTGTCATCTTTTTGATGAAAAACATGCTTTTTTTTCTTTGTCTACATAAACATTTGCATGGAACAATATTGCATTTATTGACAAACTTTGGGTGTGTGTTATCCACAAGGATGTGCTGAACTGAAATGTTGCTGCAGGAAGATATTTGTAGTGCTGTTTAAGAAAACATCCATTGCCATGGAATATGAATATTCTGTGAAACATATTCACTTTTTTCAGTATGTAAACTGAATCATTACTTTAATAGTAAAAATTGCAGAACATGTTGTGAACGGCTACACAGAGCTGCTCTGTTTTAGGTCATTTAATATAAGAAAAGCTGGAACTGTCCTTTTAAGTATGTTCTGTAAGTCCAACCTGTTGTCTTGGGCAGCATTAATGCAAGCATAGCTATGTGCTAGTATCTGCCCTAAAGAAATAGTTAAGGAAAGACAAAATTTTATTTTTGTTAATTATGATGGAATTATTTTACTGAAAGGATGGATTAATTTCGTATTACAGTAGTATCATCAATATCTGTGGTTAAACCAGTCCTGTGGTCTTTGGGGTTGAGATCGTAATTTCCCATTTTTCTGCAAATGAAGGAAGAACAGAGAGAACGTAGTAGATGAAAGAAGCCAAACTGTATTATTATAGCCTTTGACTGGTCAAATTAATAGTCTGTTTTCTAACCTATATTTTATTTGGCTGGAGGTTTAGTTCTGGTATCTTCTTTTCCTTTTTTTACTCTCAGTTTTTCAGTTACTTTTCATAGCATTTTATGATTTGTCAGAGTTTGGTTGCTTGGCGGAAAATGCTTGGCTCCTTGTGTCTTTGCTAACATAAAGGGATTAGTGTGTATAAATAAGGTATACAGGCGTACACCAGACTTACTCATGTTGTCTTCTGTGCAGCATCACCGTTTCCTTGAATATTTGTTAATCTCTTGATCTGCCTAGCTATTGATTTTGTTTTTCTGTATTATTATTATTTTTTCCCCCTTATTCTGGCTGCTTATTTTGTCTTACTCGGGTGATCTGCTACAGTTGAAAGGTTTTGTTAGCTTGCTATTCTCCTTTCTGACTGGGGCAGTATCAAAGATGTCCAGGAAGGAGTATGAGAATCGAGTAGTCACAGTGATACTGTGTCAGAGTGCTCGTCCTCCAGGGATATGACAGGACCTCTTTGAATCCAAGTCATGAAATTTGTGGTCTTAACCTTAAGCTATATTTTCTTGTGTGTGTAGATTTCTGATTCATTAGCGTCAGTCACCTCTCTCTCTCAGTTTTTTCTGCCTCTAACTTACATTATAAAATGCACTAAATGGTTGCATAAGTTGCTGCATTTTGTGCAGATTGAGAATATTATCCTGTCTCATTGAGTTGTTTGTGAATTTTAAAGGGATTCTAACGTGCCGTTTCGGTATATTTCAGTGAAATTCTAAATGTAGTTTCCTGTTCCTAGTTACAAAAGCTATGTGCTGCTGTGTTCCTGTTGTCCTGAGCTGCATGTCTAGCAGTCGTATAGTCTCAGTTGAGAGGCAAGTTGTTTTCTGATGTATAAGTAAGAACTTAGTTTTATCAAGTCTGCTTTGAGTATCAATCTCAACCTTCTTTAGCCTTAAGAAACTCGGGTATCGCTTTGCTAATTTTAACTAAAACACTGAAATGAAGCTCACTTTAGTATATGAGGTTCTCTCCTTGTTTTTGAGAACTCATTGTAGCACATGTAATCAGTTTGACAAATGTAAGTATTTAAGAAGATCTAAACAAGTATACAAAGTAGTAAAAAGGAGGGATGAGCTAACCCTGAAATGAGAAGAATTACAAAGTATTTTATCAGAGTTTTTATTTCTCAAGTTGATTCTTTCAGTACTACTGAATAAGCTTCCACCTCCTGTTTTGCAGCAGATGAGGTTTTCTTGGTTTTAAGTAATGCATATTTTCAAGTCCGTGAGGTCTGTGTTAAGAGGCACATTCCCCAGTAAATTCTGTTGGTGAGATCCTCTGGAGTCCTCTTAAGTCTACCTGGAAAGTTGGTGTCTCTCAAGTAATTTCCTTAGTTTTCACAACTGTAGAGTTAAAAATGAACTCCTCTCAGCTTCCCAATATATCTGTGTCAGACAGAAGTAATATAGTTTTGCTTGTCTTGAGATTAGAAGTGGGGAGAAGCTTGTGTGAATAGTTACAGCAGACACAGCAGAGAGGAGTTTGTGTTGGAACTAGTTCTGTCTCATCATAATTAGCTTTTAAATTTTTTGGGGAGAGGAGTTGGGGAGTTTTTCATCACCTAGCTTGGGCCTATGTTTAAATACTCCTTAATTCTTCACATTTTTTTAGGTTAGTGGAACAGCTCTGTTTCTGTTGACTGTCTGTAAGGCTTAATCAGACTGTTTCTATAATTGGGCAAAATGGTGCTAGTCTGGGTATCCCTGTAGCCAGTAAGTCACTCTTTCACGCAGTAGAAAGCTGTCTGCTGTAGGTACATCCCTGGGCTCCATCATTTGTGTAGATGGCAACAGCTGCGTCAGTTATCTGACAGCTGTGAATGTTATTTGTCAGGCTTTTATGAGGATTTAAAAGAACATAAATAATCAGGTTTTGCCACCTACTCGCAGCTTACATCACTTCAGTTAAGCTATTTAGTGCTGTTGAGGCAAATGCTTCTAGTATTTGAACCCATTACTGTGCCCTCATGCTGGGCAGGTGCAAATTTTTATTGCCTTGCTGAAACCCCGAAGCTTACACATCGTGTTTCACTGTAACAGTGCTTAGTGGATTGATTTTGCTGTGCTTCAGTCTTGTCCCAGAGGCACCTTCCTCGTACAGGTGAAATAAAATGCTGAGCAATATCCAACAATTCCTGTGCTTCAAGACAAGATTGACTATTTTTAAGCTGTGTCTGAAAAATGTTTGTCTGATGTGTTTGCTGGAGATCTCTAGGTGGTTCCATGGTTCCTAAAGAAATCTGTGGAACAGTCTTTTTTTTCCTGTTCGTCCTCTTATCTTAATCCTCCTGTCAGTCCTTTTATTTTGATCTTTAGCAGACAAGACAAACAGTTAATGCTTTTCTTCCAGTGTTCTCTGTATTTGAATTTTGCTTAGCAGCTCCTTTTTTTCTCCTCCCTAGATTAAGTAATTTGAGTTATTTCAGTCTACCCTTACATGTTATACCCTTACCGGTCTTGCTCTCCCCCTTTATGCTCTCTTCAGCCATCCTTATTTTTCTTAAAAGACAGTGCTGAAAATGGATGGTGTATACCTAGTGTATTGTTGTCAAGGAGTATGAGAAGATTGCTTCAAGTGTCTGGCAAATTATTGCTCTCTGTTATCTATTCCTGCCTTTTTTCAGAGCAGTTTTTGATGTGCTGTAGTAGCAGCTCCTGCTAAGTGAGTCTCTCCTGTTTTCATGTTTTTGCAGTTAATTATATATATCTGCACGTAGTTCTTTACTTTTATTCAAATTGAATTATATCCTATGTATTCAGATTCTTTCTTCAGTTTATCAAAGATCTTGTTAGTTTTGATCCTTTCCTGTAGTAGGCTTGCAGCTTTGTTACCTGCAGGTTTAATAAGCGTACATTGTGTTCAAAGGAAAAATCCTTGCTGTATGGCACAAAATTGGTCCTTTCATATTGATAGCCATGTGAACACAGACATGAAAACTGCCTTCAGTTTGCTGTTACTAGACCATGTTTCTGTAGCATTTTTTGGGAAGATAATGCGTATGTCAAGGTGTATACTGATTCTCTGAAAAAGCCTATCCTGTCATAGAAAGGTTGGTTTGGCTTGGGGGGTGGGTTGGGTTTTTTTTAACATGTTCATATTTATTAGCTTTTACCATCTTATCTTCTAAGTGGTTAAGACAGGAGTATCTAGCTAACTTTTTTTCTGGAGATTGAAACTAGGCTAAATGCTTTCTAATTCTTCTATTCTTGCTTCTCTTGACACCTGTTTCTTTAAGGTGGTATGCTTATCCTCTTCCAGTGTTGAAGAATCTGTTTTGTGTTTTGAGTCATTGATTTGTTAAAGCTTTGCTTCTTTTTA